ATGGTTCATATATATATATATATATATATATACACATAGTTACATACATTATCAGAGTTTGGTTAAAATGTTAACCATATTGTGTTAACTTTGTGAACCAAACTTAACCAATGAAAATACATCTTTTATCTAGGTTCATATTCATCTCATAATTTAATGACATGGGTAAATATGTAATTTTAGTTTGTATGTAACTCCCATATCATTAATTGGGAGTAACACAAATCAAAAAAATCTCATAATTGTTGTTGATTTAGTATTGGTCTTGTTTTTCTATAATATTGATTTATCTATCTATAATCTTCTTGAATTTGTGATTGTTAAAGGAGACCCGATAGTAAAATTTTCGATATCGTTCAAGCTAATATGGATAAACCCATTGGAAAACAACTCGACAACAATGAGTAGGTTAAAATGGTTTACGATGATGATCGGACTTCGAGTTTCGGAAGTGAAGACAATAATCAAAGAGTTTTGTATTGGAAATGGATTAATATGTTATTGTATTCGTTGTAATCGAAATTATGTTGATTATGATGTTTTTGTGTTTTTTATAGTTCATATTGTGTTGGTAGCTTTTTTTAGTTATTACTACGAGCCCAATTCATATGTTCAAATGGAATGAGTTCATCGTCAACTTAATTTGTTATGCAATCCAATTCTGATAACCATTCGGCTCCATCAGCTGCTTGTGATGCTTAACCTGCAATAGACTGCAACTAGTGTTCATATACGTTCATGTGTGTTCATATATGTTCTAGTAGGGACATGAATGAAGGCATCTAATATTGAATTTATAATTTTTGTTAACTTATTATTGATCTTGTTCTTTTTTTATAATATTGATTTTTCTATCTATAATGTTTTTGAATTTGTGATTGATACAAGTGACCCGGTAGTAAAGTTTTTGGTATCGTTCAAGCTATTATGGATAAACTTATTGTTTATAATGAAGGAATTATTGTTCACAAGTGTTCATATTGTGATTATATATACACTAGTTGCATATCTCAACATTGTTTGCTGCTAAATGTGTTCATAATGAAGAAACTATTGTTCACAAGCTGTTTATATTGTGTTCATACCTGTTTTTTTTATTTATTTTCTTACGTGTAGCAACTATTCTTATTATGTTCATATTGTGTTCATAAATGTTATGCAGTTCAAGTTCATATATATGTCAATTTTTGTTCGTATTTGACACAATGGTTCATATATATATATATATATATATATATATATATATATATATATATATATATATATAGATTTGAGATCATGTGAGACCAATGGTTTTTCGTGAGACCCGTAAGAACAATTCTCAACCCTTGGATTAGATATATAATCTGACAATCTAAACATCCATAAACGCCAAGAAATTTCTTAATAATTACCAAATTGACACCGTGCAATTTAGACCGTTAGATCATTAACTTATAAAGTTAATCAATGAACATAGATTGGTCTTACGGGTCTCACGAAAAACCTTTGGTCTCACGTGAACCCAACTATATATATATATATATATATATAGCTGTGTTCATATGGTTCTTACATTAACAAAAATAAATTAACAAAAAATAATGGGATTTTTTTGATTTTATAACTCCCAATTAATGGTATGGGAATTACATAAAAAAGAAAATTATCTAAATACCCTTTTCTTCTTTGTTCACTTATGTTTTTGAAACTGTAAATTTAAAAACTTAATTTTTTATCATGATTAATCACAATTGTTTATTGTAAAAATCAATGACCAAGATTGATTAACAAAGTTAACACAATAATTTTGGTTAACATTTGAATCAACCTCTATACTATTATATTACATATATGTATTAATATTAAAATATCATCATAATTATTTTAAAAAACCTAAAATAGTTTAATCCAATAGTTAATTTTTATGATTAATTAGTTATTTTAATGGATGAGATATTTATAAAAACCACTTGTATTGAATTTAAATTTATAAATTATTAAGTTCTTGAACTTTTTTTGATTGAATAAGCTGTTGATTTTTTTATGTTAAACGATTAAGTCGTTACATTGTTTTAAAAATTAAATGATTGAGCTTTTTAGAAAATTGGTTACTTAAATTATTTTAACTTTTTTAAAATTGTATAATTTAAAAGTTATTTTTATAAAATGACTTGAATAAAACATAATCACTTTTATAAAAGTAGTATTTTAAATTTCTTGGGTTATTTTAATATTTTTAAAATGATGTAATTGAAAGATTGTACATAAAATAAAATAAAAGAATCAATATCGTGCAACTCACAGAGTCATAGTTATTTAAAAAAAAATCATCCTTACATATATTTTTTTAATAAATAAATCATCGAACTTTTAAAAAATTGGTTATTTAAATCATTTCAACCCAAAAAAAATGCCACATATCATAATTTGTTTGCCTCATAGATTAAATAAGTGAAAAAACGAATTTTAAGTCACGATTTCCTCGATTTTTAATCTATTCATATAGTTGTTAAATATATATTTATTATAATACGTAAGGATCTAATATTATTATTATATTAAATTTAATATGTAGTTTGGTAATATAAAAAAAGTTGTTTTTTTAAATAAATAACTATTAAAAATTACATTTTTAAGGATTATTATTAAAAAGGAGAAAAAATATGTTTTTCTTAAAAATAATTATTAGAAAAAAAAGTAACGCTTTCTAAGGAAAAATATTAAAAAGAAAAAGAAAACATATAATATTTTTTTGGAGAAATTATGATAAAAAATATTTGAGTATTAATTTTTTACAGAATAATAAATAATATTTGTAATAGTAATATATTTATAATTAAAAAAAATAACTAAAAAATTAGTATAAAAAAACAGCAAAAAGACAAAAATACAAAAAGAAAACAAAAATAAATGATTATATAGGAGATATGGATGCCTTTAGTGAGGGATAGATGTGACATTAGCTTCCCCTATATTAAATATCTTATGCAACAAATAAACTCATGCATTCTTCTTATTTGATAAAGTTTGAACTTATGACCTTCTAAAAAATCAAAGACTACGATATCCGTTAGGTCAAAGGTCTTTTGATTGTTATTCGAAATTTTGTAGATAGCAAAAATTGTTTTTGTAAACTTATTTTGATATTTTGTAATTCATAACGAAATCATGTACTTACTATTTAACTAAATTAATAATCAATAAAACATTATTTAACTTATGCTACTTATTAATTTTTAGTCACATACATCAACATTTAAGACTTATGAGCTGTTTATCAAATGCTTATCCGGATAAACGCTTGTTAAGTCACATTACCTTATTGGATGAATATGATAATGATTAAAAATCTTACCTGGTAAGAACGAGACAAGGACCAAGAGTCTTACTCGGTAAGTGAGGGCGACGACTCTTACTACGGTAAGCGCTTACCAGGTAAATCGTTGCATACGATGTTGTTTTAATGAACTAAAATCTTAATCGGTAAGTAAATGATAGTATTAAATTTTACCGGTAAGTACTTACCGGGTAAGTGTTTGGTAAACGACCCCTTACTAACATTCTTAATTCATGATTTGACCTGATTTTGATATAAAATGATGCATATAATTCTTAATAATATTAGACCATCCAATGCGGAACTAGTGGCTTGAGCAACGAGTAATAGAAAAACACTTAACCACAAAATGGTGTTTCATTGATTTGAGCTTGGACTCCAAAGATTAAAAGCACCTAAAAATCAAAGGTTCAAATTCAATAATAAATAAAAATCCCCTTATAGCCATGAAAGTTCAAATACAATAACTCCAGACTACCCGCAAAATAGGTGGTCATCCTGACATATTAATCGATGTTGAATATCCAGATTAATAAAAAAATAATATAAAAATACACGAGTAGTACAAATCTAATTAGAAGATTTGGTTGGATATAAGGAAACTTCCGTACATTTAGACGTGATTTATGTTTAAGAAAAGGACATAAAATGAAGGTGATATATAAGGTGGTTTGAAAAAGGGAAGCATTTTGTATGATTTTTTGAATATATAACAATGGCCGAAGCACCGGCGATCGGAATCGACCTTGGAACAACATACTCATGTGTCGCCGTCTGGAAGCATGATCGGATTAAGATCATACCAAATGATCAAGGCAATAGAACCACACCGTCTTCTGTTGCTTTCCTTGATGAAGAACGACTCATCGGAGATCTCGCCAAAAACCAAGGAGCAATCAACCCTGCTAACACCATATTTGGTCAGCCAACTCAGTTTTCCTACTTTTTGTTCAATGATCTTCATCTTATGATAAGCCATTAGAAAAGTGTTAATATATAAATATATGTAATTTGTTCTTAATAGAGTTGTATGATTTTTCCATTTTGGGGTTTTAGGGTTTATGTTTGCGTAACAACTCCAAAATAGCAACAGGTCTCAGTACAAAGCTTGGATGGCTAATTAACATTGTCTACATTAATTAACTTTGATTAATTATGTTGGGAACTAAGATTATGTTATATTACTTGCCAAATCAAAATCATTGTCGATACAGTTTCTTTGCACTTGGCTAATGGCTTAAACCTTAATTATCCGTTTTGTTCAGATACTAAGAGGTTAATTGGTAGGAGATTTAGTGATTCCAAAGTGCAGGAAGACATGAAGCTGTGGCCATTTAAGGTCATAGAAGGGCCTGGCGACACACCAAAGATTGTTGTTTCCTACAAAGGTCAAGAGAAGGAATTTTTTGTTGAAGAAATTTCCGCAATGATTCTCGGCAAGATGAAAGAAACTGCTGAGGCATACCTTGAAAAACCTGTGAAAAATGCAGTGATAACAGTCCCGGCTTATTTCAATGATTCACAACGTCAAGCAACCAAGGATGCCGGCAAGATTGCTGGATTGAACATCATCCGACTGATCAATGAGCCTACTGCTGCGGCAATTGCATACGGTCTAGATAATAGCTATGATATTATCGACAAGATGAATGTGGTCGTCTTTGATCTGGGCGGTGGCACTATTGATGTCTCTTTATTGACCATTGCGAAAGGGGTTATGTTTGAGGTGAAAGCTGTTGCCGGAGACACTCATTTGGGAGGTGAAGATTTTGATGATAATATGGTGAATCACTGTCTTCAGGAATTCAACAGGAGATGGAATACAGACTTGATGGGGAACCAAAGGGCATTGGGGAGATTGAGATTTGCTTGCGAAAAAGCCAAAAGGATTCTTTCATGCACTACTCACACTTCAATCGAGGTTGATTGCTTGCACGCGGGGATTGATTTTTCTATGAAATTTTATCGAGCTACATTTGAAGAGCTCAACCTGGGTTTGTTCGATAATTGCATCAAGACTGTGGAGGCATGTTTAAGCGATGCAAAGATGGATAAATCATGTGTACATAAGGTCGTTCTTGTTGGTGGCTCAACGAGGATACCAAAGCTCCAACGTATGTTGCAGGAATTTTTCGATGGCAAAGAGTTATGCAAGAGCTTGAACCCTGATGAGGCAGTCGCATATGGTGCCGCCATCATGGCTGCAAAGTTTAGTGGTAACAGCGACAAGAGAGTTCAAGATTTGTTGTTATTGGATGTCACTCCTTTATCACTTGGTATCGAGGCAACCGGAGAGGTAATGGATGTTGTGATACCACGGAACACTCCAATACCTGCAAGAAAGACCAAAAATTATTATACAAATTATCACAATACAACCGCCTTATGTTTCGTAGTTTATGAAGGTGAAAGAACTAGATCTACTTATAACCATTTCTTGGGGAAGTTGTCAATTTTTGGAATTCCATGTGGTCCCAAATTAGACCCGAAAGTTAGTGTATGCTTTGAAATCGATGCCAACGGTATCTTGACAGTGACGGCTGAGATATTATCTACCGGTAAGACGGAGAAACTCACGATTACCAATGAAAACGGAAGACTCTCAACGGAAGAGGTTGAGAAGATGGTAAAAGATGCTGAGGAGTACAAAGATGAGGACCAAGAATACAAGAAGAAAGCAGATGCACGCAATGCATTGGAGGATTGCTTATACAACATGAAGAATAAGATCAAAGAATACAACATCAAGAAGTGGGTGCACACTAAGATCTTGAAGAATATGGAGAAGGTTGTTGCTGATACGATCGAGTGGCTTGAGGACAACCAAACTGCACCCGCTGACGAGCTTCAGCGCAAGAAGGTATGCCTCGAGTCTGTATGCATGCCAAAGTTTTAGTTGTCGGATTATATATAGTCGTTAAACTTGTGGGATTTCGTCGCTTTTGAGTAACTTGCAAAGGGTTAAAACCGAACATAGGCCGGAGAAGGAAAAAAAAAAAACTTACCAAAATCTTTTGTTGGTGTTGTTACTTGATTCTCAAGTGAGATTTTGCCTCGATTCGAAAGGAATTTAATGGGTCGTATATCGAACGCTTACTCGGTAAACGTTATCAGGTCATTTACTTTACCCGGTAAACGGACCTAAGTCTTAATAAATTATTTTTACCTGGTTAGTTCTTAACGGATAAGTTCACTTGTTTTAATATTCAGACTATATAACTTACGGTATCTGAGTAGTTATTTCAAATGAAGAGGAGGTTTTAATATATAGAAGAAATATGATGCAAATTTTAGCATTAATATTTATTAACTAGTTGTGTATCCATGCAATACAGCGGGAGCTGTAAATTTTAATGATTTTGAAGTTTCACTGGTTTTATTAAAGAAGATTTAATGATGATATAAGTTACATTTGGTCTTTACATATTAATGCAATTTGAATAAATAAGAGTTATGGTTTCAATTACAGTCTATCATTGGAAAAAATTGTATGATAATTTCAAAATCCAACATATTTAAACGATTCCACAAATGCGTTCGATTTGCACCAAGAGCAAACAATCAAGATATCGAGAGCGAGACCGAAAGTTATAGAGCAATTGAATGAGAGATGAATGAGATAACTTTTAATAACTCCTGATGAATATTAGTTTGAATCTCACCTTGGGGGATGGGAAGAAGACAGAGATGTATGAGAGAGTGAAAGCATGCATGTAATGTGTCAAAAGTATCTTGGGAACATGAAAAGAAAATGTAATAATTTGCATTGGTACCTTGTACTATATGTTATTTTAATTGTAGATTAAGAGATTTTAAGATTGAATGTATAAAGTAGTAGTAATTAATGCATAATGAGTTGAGTTTTAAGACTTTTAAGATCTTGTGTATAAATATATAGTACTTTGTGCATTAAAAATTGTTTTTAAGACTTTTGATAAATCTGGTTTATAAAATAGTATAGATAGTGTATTTTTTTTATTATTTTTAATTTTATTATATAAAATAAAATTAATTGTATAAATATTATTTAAAACTAGTCATTATTGTTTTGTTTTGGTTTATACATTAATTAATGTGGTCGCATATAATATTTGAAAACTAGGTACATGAAAATGCTTCTAACTTAATGGTTAAACGTTAATGGTGGTTAGAAAGATAGCGTCTTACGTTTTCACACATTATAATATTATCTAAAGGGTCAATTACATAAAAAATTAACGTATTTTAACTTGATTTTTATTTTGGGTAATGTATTTTTAAAACTTTTATTTTGGTAACTATGTAAAGTTTAAAAAATTTAAGTACCCGAGCAATCAGTTGAAGCATTAATCGGTTATCGTGTTGATGTGACGAGTGATGTGATATCCAACTCAGTATTATTTGCTGACGTGGTTAGTAACATTGATTTTTTTAAATCTAAAATTAGTCTTCAACCGGTTACTCAAGTACTTAAATGTTTAAAATTTTATATCTTAGGTACCAAAATAGAAGTTTTAAAAATACGTTACTAAAAAAAGGAATCAAGTTAAAGTACGTCATTTTTTTAAGCAATTTACCCTTATCTAAAATGAAGTAAATAGAGATTTTATAGATTTTGGGTTATAATTGTTTTGCTTCAATAAAAGTTCTAAAACAATTTTACACCCGCAAAAGTAAGGATCTATTTGTTAGCAACTTAACGAGACTCACAACTTATTATGTCAACTATATATGATTGTTTAGTAGGAACTTAATGATATAGAAATGAGTTTATTCAGTAAACTTCTAAGGGGAACTTTATGCAGCCAATTTTTTTTCTAAAGTTATCCCTCCAAATTAAAAACATGCTCCTTTATTCTATGAAACAACCCTCTTAAACAAAAACATTTTCAATCTATAAAGACATATTAATCCACATAAACAATTTTTCACATATGACTTAATGAAAAACTAACCAAATAATTCCTAAGAGAGAGATGATGAAATTCTCACCATCTAAAATTAATTGCTTTGAAGGAATATTTAAAAGAGAAAAGTATTACTTTATTAAATAAATTAATAAAATACCTAATTTTGCCTTAAAAAATAAAATATCTGTTGTATTTGAATTTAATTTTTTTTTTATAAATTTTGATTTTTGATAATTTATTTTCAAGAACTTGTTAAAAATTATGTTGGATGATTCTTCGTGTTGGTGTGTTGTATTAGAAAAAGCCTAATATAGAGTGGTCCCTCTTGATCTTGAATTGGATTTGGAGTTATAAGACAACATTTTCGACTTATCAAAAACAAAACACTTGTTATCATTATTTTAGCCACAAAATTCGAAACAAATTGATTGAAATGTTGGCTTTCGATGTAAAGAATGAAATCATTACAAAGATCAAAGAGACAAAGTATTTTTCAGTTATTCTTGATTGTACTTTGGATGCAAGTCATAGAATAAATGACTTTGATTATAAGATGTGTGTGATATGTCAAGTTCTCCTATACAAGTCGAAGAGTTATTTGTAGAGTTTTTAGTTGTAGAAGATACATTAGGTTTAGGACTTTATAATCTATTACAAGATGTTTTGTAGTTGCTTGATTTAGATATTAATTGCATGTGGGGACAAAGGTATGACAATGAGTCTAATATGAAAGAGAAACATCAACATGTGTAAAAAAGATTACTTGATATAAATCCTAGAGCCTTTTATATGCCACGTGGTTGTCATAGTCTTAGGAGCCGTTTACCTAAATACTTACTCGGTAAATGCTTATCAGGAGAAACCAACATTATAATTTATTTTTATCGGATAAGATTGTAGTACATTAAAACGGTATCATATGCATCAATTTACCCGGTAAGTGCTTACCCGGGTAAGAGTCGTCACCCTCACTTACCGGGTAAGACTCTCCATCATAATCATTGCTTTTACTAGGTAAAATTCTTGGCTCTTGCCATGTTAATCCGGTGAGAAAAATTGTCTGATAAGCACTTACTGGGTAAGTGTTTAATACACGACCCCTTAATTTAGTTTTATGTCACATGACACATGTCACAAAGCAAAAACTTTTTTTTTTTGATACTTGTGAGAGAATATACAATGTGTAAAGAGATGAACTCTTTTATTAGAATATTTGACATTGAAATCTTTATCTTCTACTTGTTGGAAAAGTCATACTGAAAGTGTTAAAAGGTATTCAAAACTCAAGTTGGCCAAATCGAAGATGCTTTAATGCAATTAGCTCAAGTGAGAATAGAAAAGTCTATAGAAATGTTGAATCTTTGGTAAATGGTGAACTTTCAAGTTTTGCATTTATTATAAGTTTGGTTATTTGGCATGAAGTTTTATATTGAATTAATTTAGTTAGTAAGAAATTACTGTCTAAAGATTGCTTCTTGATATTGCAGTACAAAATCTAGAGGCATTAGTTATATATTTTGAAAAATATAGGGAAAATGGGTTTACATGTGCTATTAATGAGGCTAAAGAAATCGCAGATAATATGGGAGTTGAGCCCAAATTTGCTGTAAAACGTTCTATTTCGAGGAATTTTTTATGAAACTTCAAGTACCGACACAAAACAATAATCTGCTCAAAAGACCTATAAAACTTATTACTCTCTTGTTTTAGTCGATATGACTCTTTCTCAATTACGAACTAGATTTGAACAAATGAAAGAATTTGAATCTATTTTTGGCTTCTTGTCTGACGGACGAAAGTTAGTTTGTTTTTATGATGATGAGCTGAAAATATGTTTTTTGAATCTTGAACTTGTTTTAACAAATGGTGATCATTCTGATACCAATGGAAAGTATTTGTTTATGAAGTTACAAGTTTTGCCGAGAATGTTACCGGAAGAAACATCAGAGAGACAAAATTCTTGGACATCCATACAAATTATGGAGTTTGCAAAGAAGATGAATGTTTTCCCACATGTCATGCTTGCTTATAGAATTTTGTTGACTGTTTCCGTCATCGTAGCATCTGTAGAAAGAAACTTTTCGAAGTTAAAGTTGTTGAAATCATTTTGCGGTCTACCATGAGTCAAGAAAGATCGAACAAGTTAGCAATTTTGAGTATTGAGAGTAAGTTTTTAGCAAATATTAACTATGATAAAGTGAATGATATTTTTTCTTCAGGAGGGCATCATTTTAGGTGATGTATTTTATGTTTTGTTATATAGGGTTTTGGTTTATGTTCTCTTGTATAATTTTTGTTATATTTAATAAAAGTTGGCAATGGGGATGAACTGACTAGCTTAACTAGTTTCCAAACCCCTTCAAAAAGTTTATTTTGCTTTTCATATGCGTATATAAGGGGCATTTTTTTTGGCCTTTCGCCATGGGCACCCGAAAACTCAAGACCGACCATGTTGGCTATCTGATCTACGCCAAGAAAGATATGAAGTCAGAGAGAACAAGACTTTCAAGAGGGTTGTTAACCGTTTTGGTCAAATCTTTAAGTAATCATGCTATAATGACTAGTATCTTATCTATACTAGCCTCAGACCCATCTCTATGGGATTTACTGGTTTGTTTTGTTTGGTTTATAGAAGTAGACATTCTCTTTTTCATCTCTTCAAAAATTGAATTGAATAAGGAACCATGGTTGTGTGCCAATGCTTTTTATATACAGATATATAATTGTTATCTAATTCTTAGATTAGAAATGGGAATTGATGTTCTTTTCTTCTTCGGGTACAAAACAAAGAAGGGCTTGAAGTCACAAACGATATGTCCACTGTAGAGCACCTCAAACATCAAGGTACACTACTCTTTCAAGAACACGACGTACTTATTTTTGAGGTCAGAGAAGATTTATAATAAAACTTATGAATTAAAAACATATATTCAAAGGCGGACCCATAACTTTTTCAAGTGGAAACACAAAATAATCAACATAAAATACAATAAAATATATATTAACTGTTAAAACTACGTTTTATAAAATGATATATAAGTGGTTTTCTGTAACACCCAAATGGTTTCTTTTTCTTTTCTGCTCTCCCCCTAAAGAAAAATTAAAAGAGAACCAAAATGTAAAAAACAAAGAACGTAGAGGAGCTATGACTTCACTGGTGTAACTTCGGTTTGCTACAAAGTGTTTCAATGGTGATTTGGATAATTGCTATTGCAGATGTACATACTAGGCAGGTTCCAATGCTAGCTATCTAAGCTGTTTTGAACGTTCAACATAGCACTGTTTAAGACTTGTATATTTGTTCTTTTATCATCTAGGTTTGTTCTTTAGTTCTTGTTGATTACTGTTCTTATTGTTATTAATCACGTTTTTGTGTATAAAATGGATTATTGTTATTTTTAAGGATATATTGTAGTGGTACATGTGCTTAATGAGTTGACAAGCTAAACGGTAACCAAATTTATGTTTATTTCTTAGTTATTGCTATTGCATTGTCGAACACCAAATCATATGATAAATATAAATTGAAAGTTTGTGTTTGTAACTCTCAAAGATTGTTATACACCGTTAATATGAACTGCTATCGTTTTTATTCTTATGTTTAACGTAAACAGTGTGTCCTTTAGTTAATGTTATTGAGAAAAATAATTGATTTTAATGTAATTGAGATGATCAATTGTTGCATCTTTAATACTTCTAAAACTGCAATTGCAACATGTGGTAGTACAACTGTCACTTGGAAGTTCATTAGAGAGTTGGTTGAAAATGGTGCGGTATCTTTGGGACGATGTTTTTGAAGTTCATTAGAAAGTTGGTTGAAAACGGTGCGGCATGTTCAAGAGTCACCACCCTCGCTAACTAAGATTGTTGGTCCTCAAATTGCCTCTTATCGGATAAGACTCGCGGTTCCGCCATGCTCATCTGGTAAGATATGTGTCCCAGTAAACACGTAGCCAACGCTTGGTAAACGTCCAGGTAAGCACTTCAAATAAATTTCTCCCTTCATTTTTTCAATTGTTCTTAATCAAAATTATGGTAATGTTAAGTCTTAGTCGTTAATAATTCTTCTTCAACTGAGGAAAGATATTGGTGCAAAGATTACAAGGAAAAGAGTCGTTATTATCTTTGTGGAGATTGCCATATAACAAGTTCTCTAGGGACTTTTAATCAGAATCATACCCCAGAACATTGGCTAGAATTGGTAAAATCAGTGATAAACTGTGACGGTATTTATAGATTGTTAACTGGACAATATGAATTTGTTGCATGATTTTTAAAGCCATTTAAAAATCTAATAACTATCAAAGCAAGTTGTTTAATTGAGATTTCTTTTATTATTTAGAATTTGCATCCATACATTTAGAGGATGTTTACCAAACTCTTACCCGGTAAGTGCTTACCAGTAAGTTTAACACTATCATTTACTTACCAGATAAGATTTTAGTCTACCAAAACGGTATCGTATGCAACAATTTACCCGGTAAGCACTTACCATGGTAAGAGTCATCACCTTCACTTACCGGGTAAGACTCTGAGTCCTTATCTCGCTCTTACTGAGTAAGATTCTTGATCCTTACCATATTCATCCAGTAAGGTAAAATGACTTGGTGTTCACTCACCCGAGTAAGCGTTTGGTAAACGGCCCTTTAGTCAAACTGTTGTTTAGCCCATGTCTATGTGTTGAGTGGGGAAAATTTAGGAGTCGTTTATCAAACACTTACAGATAAAAATCACCATCTTCATTTACCTTATTGAGTAACATTCTCGGCCATCAACATGGATTGTTGGTAAACGTTTTATCACTCGGTAAGTGTTTACTAGGTAAAAGTCACCATTATTGTTTACCAGGTAAAACTCTTGATCATTGTCTTGTCTCTTACCGGGTAACAATGTTAGAAGTTCTTGAATTTCTGCAGGTATCCCATATTTATGACGGAAATGTTTTATTCTTATCTTATCGTTAAATTTTTACGTTCCTTCGTATTGCACGCAGACCCGTTCCTGGTATTTTATGGGCCCTAGACAAAGCATAAAAAAGGCCCTCGATAAGTACGGAGATAACATTTCATATCTCGTTTTTATCATTAGAAATAACATTGAATTCAGTGATTACTAATAATTCATATAAAACCGTTTTTCCAAGTATTTTTAATCGCAAAAACAATCAATAATTATATTCAAGTTAATATTATCTAACATATCATTTATATAACATCATCAATCCATTCCACAATAAAAAATACATCTTATGATATACCTTAATATATAGATTGACATCATTTGGGATCATAATATTGGCCATAGGCGGACCTACATAGGTGCCATGGGTGGCACGTGCCACCGTATCGTTTCTCCGCCGAAGAGTAAAAAATTTAGGTTTCGTGAACGGTGCAACCGTATTAATTTGTTGTGTGCCACCGTATGTATTTTAAAACTACAATGAGAACAAGTTTTATTTGTTAGAGTTGGTTTTCAAGACTTTTATTCTACCCTACACCCAAGTCCGAATCATAAACGGTGCCACCGTTTGAAAAAAAATTCCTATATTTTTTTTCTTATGGTCAAATGGTGCCACCGTTTAAAAAAAATTATGGGTTTGTCCCTGATATTGGTTGTTCTAAGGGGCCGTTTACCAAACGTTTATCCAAGTAAGCGCTTACCAAGTAACATTACCTCACTGGAAGAATATGGTAAGGACCAAGAATCTTACCCTGTAAGAGTGAGACAAAGACCAAATGTCTTACCCAGTAAGTGAGGGTGATTACTCTTACCACCGTAAGCGCTTACCGGGTAAATTATTGCATACGATGTCGTTTTAGTGGACTAAAATCTTACCCGGTAAGTAAATAATAGTATTAAATTTTACCGTTAGTACTTGCCGGGTAAGTATTTGGTAAACAACCCCTAAGTAATACTATGTAAATTCATATAAATCTTGGGTTTCCATCTCACCATAAGTTAAAGTTCACCGTTTTATTTACAAACTTTTTCGGCTACTAATATAGTACTATATTATAAAACAATTGGACCCTTATTTCTTGTAGGCCTTGGGCAAAAAGTCTACCTCTTAATAGTTTTAAAACCATCTGAATGACTTTGTATCTTGGGTCTCCCTAAACCATTCAACGCTCCAATTTTATTTTGAACGATTATCAAATAACCGTATTTCATTTTCTATTATATCATAAAAATATTTTAATCATTCTGATTACTTAACCATCATGTATCAAATCATTCAACAACTGCTAAATAGCTGCTTAATGGTGAGGAGACTTAATGGTGAAGAAAAACAAAAGGACCAAAAGGAACTGTTCAAATAATCTCTGGGCCCTTTCTGGCGCATTATAAAGGTGCGATGATGGTTTGAAAATTGAAAAGGAAAAGCTCACTTTATATGTAGCGGGCACTTTACTTGTAATGGACCGAAGAGGAATCGGAGCACCGGCGATCGGCATCGATCTTGGAACTACATACTCATGTGTGGCGGTCTGGAAGGATGATCGGATCGAGATCATCACCAATGATCAAGGCAACCGGACCACACCGTCTTTTGTTGCTTTTCTTGATGAAGAACGACTCATCGGTGATGGCGCCAAGAATCAAGGATCAATCAACCCTGCTAACACGATATTTGGTCAGCCAATCCATTTTTCCTACTTTTCTTTATCGAATGCTTTTCATTTTTATTTCCAATTAGTCATTAGAAAAGTTATACATTCATGGACGGAGCTGTATGCAACATCCAGAAGATGTGAATGGTAAATATTGGAGTTGGTTTGTAAGAACATTGTTTCGATCCCTGATGCCATTAATCTTTTGAAGCAAAGCTACCCCATTAGTTCCATTTTAGGGTTTAAGGGGTTCTTTTATAAAGGGTTTTAGGGTTTAAGTTTGCTTACAGCTCCAAAAACTAAATACACAGGTGACTGTTTTTTTGAAACTGTGGAAATAGACTCCAAACCTTGATAACAAGAAGTCTTGATTAAACCACCACCTGTTCAAAAAACTAGCAAACCATTTAGCTTTTGATTATGTTGGGAACTTGAACTTCTTTAGGGAATCAAAATCCTTGTTGATATAGTTTGTTTTCACTTGGCTCTTTGCTTGATTAACTGTTGATTTTCAGATGCTAAGAGATTGATTGGAAGGAAATTTAGTGATTCGAAAGTGCAGGAAGACATGAAGTTGTGGCCATTTAAGGTCATGGAAGGGCCTTCCGACACACCAAAGATTGCTGTCTCCTATAAAGGTCAAGTGAAGGAGTTTTTTGCTGAAGAAATTTCATCGATGATTGTTGGCAAGATGAAGGAAACTGCAGAGGCATACCTTGGAAAAGTTGTGAAAAATGCTGTGATAACAACCCCGGCTCATTTTAATGATTCACAACGTCAAGCAACAAAGGATGCTGGTGTTATTGCTGGATTAAATATCATCCAGCTGATCAATGAGCCTACTGCTGCTGCAATTGCATATGGTTTAGATAATAAGTCTAACATTATTGGCAAGATGAATGTGGTCGTCTTTGATCTGGGTGGTGGCACTTTTGATGTCTCTTTGTTGACAATCACGGAAGAGGGTACTTTTGAGGTGAAAGCTGTTGCTGGTGACACTCATTTGGGAGGCGAGGATTTTGATAGCTGCATGGTGGATCACTGTGTTCGCGAATTCAAAAAGAGATGGAATAAGGACTTGAACGGGAACCAAAGAGCTATGGGGAGGTTGAGATTTGCGTGTGAGAAAGCAAAAAGGATTCTTTCATGCACTACTCAGACTTCAATTGAGCTTGATTGTTTACAAGAGGGGATTGATTTTTCCATGAAATTTAGTCGGGCTAAATTTGAAGAGCTGAATATGGGTTCATTCGATAACTGCATTAAGACTCTAGAGACTTGTTTAAATGATGCAAAAATGGAGAAGTCATGTGTAAATGAGGTGATTCTTGTTGGTGGCTCAACTAGGATACCAAGGGTCCAACATATGTTGCAGGAATTTTTCGATGGCAAAGAGTTATGTAAGAGCGTGAACCCTGATGAGGCAGTTGCATATGGTGCAGCGGTTATGGCTGCAAAGTTAAGTGGTAACAGTGACAAAAGAGTTCAAGATTTGTTGCTATTAGATGTCACTCCTTTGTCACTAGGTACACAGATCAATGTAGGAGTAATGGATGTTCTGATACCACGGAACACTCCTATACCTGCAAATAAGTCCAAACAGTATGTGACAGATTGTGACAACCAATCTGCCATGGATGTTGAAGTTTATCAAGGTGAAAGATCCAGATGTACAGATAACCATTTGCTAGGAAATCTCAAGGTTTCTGGAATTCCATTTGCTCCCAGAGGAGTCTCTATAGTTGGCGTATGCTTTGAAATAGATGCCAGTGGTATCCTCACAGTCACAGCTGAGATATTATCTACGGGTAAGACTAGGAAACTCGCCATTACCAATGAAAATGGAAGACTCTCCAAGGAAGAGATTGAGAAGATGGTAGCTGATGCTGAGAAGTACAAACATGAGGACCATGAATACAAGAAGAAAGCAACTGCACGCAATGCATTGGAGGATTGCTTATACAAAATGAAGAATAAGATCAGAGAATACAAGATCAAGAAGGAGGTCAGCCCTGAGATCTTGAAGAACATGATGGATGCTATTGCTGCTATGACCGAGTGGCTTGAGGACAACCAAACTGCACCTCTTGAGGAGCTTCAGCGCATGAAGGTACGCCTTGAGTTTGTATGCTTGGCAATGATTTAGTTCTAAGATTATGTTCGTTGAACTTTTAAGATTTCATAGATTTTAATACAATGATGTTGAAGAGTAACTTGCAAAGACTTAAATCCGAACCTAGACTGAAAATGAAAAACTTTCAACCCACGAACCAAATCATTATGCAACACTTTGGTATCAATTGAGAAGCGACGGGGTTAATTTATGTTATTGGTCGATGATCTTCATCTAAGAGGCTTATGTTTGATTCTTGACGCTTACCCGAATAAGTGCTTTCCGGTAAAATTCAAGCCTATCACTTACAGGGTAAGATTTTAGTCCACCAACGGTATCATATGCAACAATTTACGTGGTAAGCGCTAACCATGGTAAGAGCTGTCGCCCTCACTTACCGGGTAAGATTCTCGGTCCTTGCCTTTGCTTTTACCGGATGAGATTTTTGGTTCTTGCCATATTCATCTGATAAGATAATGTGACGTGGTAAGCGCTTACCCGGATAAACGTTTGGTAAAAGGTCCCTTACTGTTGACAAAGGAAAATATTAGTTTTAGTAAGTTCAATAAAATGTTATATATATATATAGATATAGATATAGAGGGAGGTTCAAATGATAAAGTTAGGCAAAAATGGTAAGAACTTAAGGTTAGAATAAATAATTCATATGTGAACCATGGTGAACTCTAAAAAAAATCCATTTGAAGATGGATATGTGAACCTACATTTGCTTACCCATCTTTCTTAACAAAATTTTACATATAAATCATTTATTTGTACGTTTTTACCATTTATATATGCTTGCATCCAATGGACATGAAAGAACGAGTTTAATGGCTGTTTACCAACACAAATCTGGTAAGCGCTTGTCGGGTAAGAGTCTAAACCTTGCTTACCTTGTTAGATAAGATTTTTGGTCATCAAAATAGCATAGTATAGGCATTTCTTATCCCGGAAACGCTAATTGGGCAATAGTCGCCACCCTTACTTAACAGGTAAGATTCTCGGTTAGCTAAATGTCAGTTAGCAAACTGGCACAGTAAAATTGTTGGTAAAGATTAGGATAAGCATTTCTTACCTGGTAAGAAGCCATAAGTGTTTAGTTACCTGGTACTAGAGATGGCCAAATGGGCCCGGCCCGGCCCGTAACCGCCGGAGGACCGGAATCGGAACCGGGACCGGAACCGGCCCGGGACCGGTATGGACCGGTTGTGGACTGCCGGTTATGGATTTTAACGTTTTATTAGACCGAGACCGGTTAAGACCGGAACCGGTTATGTAACCGGTTATAGGACCGGCCCGGCCCGGCCTGGTCAACAAAAGTCAACGTGTATATATATATATAACAAAACGTATTTATAAAATTAAACGTATATATACATATATATACATACATATATATATATATATATATATATATATATATATATAACAAAACATATTTTTAAACGTATTTATAATAAAACTTATTTATATAAAACATATTAAAAATTTATTAATAAACAAAAGTTTGAAAAAAAAATATTTTTTTGGCCGGGACCGGTTATGGGACCGGATTCCTTAACCGGTTACCGGTAAGTTTGACCGGTTACAAGGTATTTCACCGGAACCGGGATCGGGACCGGTTATGGCAGGATCGGTTACCGCTGGTTTTTGTCTTGATTAGAACCGGTATGGACCGGTTAAGGACCGGCCCGGGACCGGATTTTGGCCATCTCTACCTGGTACAACGGTAAATGTTAGTAAACAACCCTATAAACTGAAGATAACCGATGTTGCATTTTCGATTTGGCTTGCTAAATGTTTTTTTGTAAGGGATGTATACCAAACATTAATTGGGTAAGCGTTTACCAGGTGAGCATGTCAATGACCTATAATCTTACCTGATGGTTGAAAATGATGATTCTTTTCTGGTTAGCGCTTCTCTTATAAGAGATGTTTACCAATAATCTTACAATGTTGTTTTGATGGCCTAAAATCTTACCCAGTTACAGGGATACAAATGAGATGATGAAATTGGTTTGTTTCATAAGATTTCCTTTTATATGCTGTATTGGAGGATATTTCCTTGTCATCATGTCCTCAACTTTTTCATGAAATCTTTTCAAGTCGAGGTTCTTTAAGAAAACAACTCTCACTTCTTTGAAATAAAGGTAAAGTTTGTATGCATGCATCTTGTTCTTTCAAAAACCTTACTCCTGGGTGATAAGAGCAAAATGAACGACACTTGGACCGAGGTTGGTAAAAAAAAGACCAGTTAGGGGAGGACTAGTTACTACTCGTTGTGACTGTTCAATCCAGTTCTTACCGGTTAAGCAAATTGAGCCATCAATCGGTTAATTGACCAGTTATAGGATCGGTAAGTTTTTCTTGAATATTTGCAATGCCATGTGTCTTCGATTGGTCAATGGAGTTTATGTTTTTTTTAGTTGCCATTTTGGAAATGTATAAACTATGTTTGGTTGTGTTTTTTATACTTCTCTTTCAACGTCTCTCAACTCTAAGAAACCGTTTACCAAATGTTTACCACTAAGTCAATAATTTGTGATGTCGATTTGCTGTTTGTTGTATATTAATTCGGGTTCTAAATTTTCTTCATTTTGACGTAACGTGTTCCAAACTTCTAATTCAAAATGGCCTCACACAATTTCGATTCTCAAACAGTTGGTTCTCAAGCAAGGGCCTTCTATTTCCAAATTTGCCGTTGAAGTAATCATCGACTATAATCGAAAAATACCCGTTTAGAAAATTTACAATTTGACGATATTGTCAAGTGGGAAAATGAAAAGCACAATGCAAAATATGTTGTCGAAGTAACCATCGAACATAACTAAAAATACCCATTTAAAGAAAACAATTTGCTAACACGATTGAGTGGGAACATTAAAGCGCAACGCAAAAAAGTGACCTCTTTTTATAATTCATAGTGAGATTAACTCGTGAAAAACATATTGTGTAACCATCAAGAACTTTATGCATTCGATGCAAACTGGTTAAAGCAGATCGAGTTAGAGTTTTGATGTCGAGTTAATGTTGACTCTGCAAGCAAAGTCGGTGATCCAAAAAGATGTATTATTCTGTCATTTTGATGACCCGAAAATTACGAGATGAATTCAAACACTGCTTCAATCAAAATACTAAAACGTAAGCCTTTCTACTCTTAAACAAGATACATTTACATTATGAAAAATTACAAGAATGTAAATGCACGATTTATTTTAAACTTCACAACTTGTTTCATTCTAACTTGTGACGTTTGGAGTGCTCCAAACACTTTACCACATTCATCATATTTCATATATATATAGACTTGGAATCATGTGAGACCAATGATTTTTCGTGAAACCCGTAAGACCAATTCTCAACCCTTGGATTCAATCTATAATCTAAACATTCATAATCACAAATTGCCACGAGACTTCTCAATAATCACAAAATTGCCATCGTACAACTTTAGACCATTAGATCATTATAAATTGATCAATAAACATAAATTGGTCTCACGAAAAACTCTTGATTTCACGTGAACTCAACCTTATATATATATATATATATATATATATATATAGGTGGAGGTTCAAACGAGAACCCCTATGATTTACGAAAACGCAAGAACAACTCAATAACCACAAACTTTTTTAATTAATAAATTAACTTTTATTATATATATAAATAATTTAATAAGGGCAGTAATGTAATTAAGTAATTTTTATAATTTTTATTTTATTTTAATTAACCATGTTTATCTTCACGTTTCCACGTCTTCTTCTCCTTCATTGATCACGTCTTCTTCTCCTTCATTGATCACGTCTTCTTCTCCTTCATTCATGCGTCTCCAAATCACACCCATATCACACCAAATCGGTAGTCGATTTCTTAAGTTAACCCTAACCGAACGGAATCCTTGTGATAATTGTGTGATAATCACA